AGGACCTCTCGAACGCAATAACTCGATTTATTTCATGAAGAATAAAAGGAAAATGAGAAATGTAAAGGAAGAAGTCTGCAGCCATGAAATTTCATGGAAAAGTGAATTTTTGACAAGCAATTTTCCATCTGAATGAATTGCCTGCTCAACAGCAATGACGAGATGAATGGAACTGCTCTGAGATTCAATTTATTCACAACCTACGCACATTATTGGCCATATTATCATTGTTTCGTTCTTATTATTATTATGCATACACAATCGACAATCAAATGACGCAAATAATTGAATTTCCATTCTGCTTTCGAATCCTTTTCAAATTCTTCGTGCTTCCTTTATTGCCATTGCATTAATTTTATGTCTTCATAAAATTTCCAAACGATATCAAATCTGATTCCATTCAATCGATGGATTTTTGGCTTCGATTCTCAAGAACAGCTGTGATTTTATAGCTGTTGGATATGACATAAGTTGAGTTAGTGGAAAATTTGTATATATTTAATGTTGTTGCCGGGTTTGTAGATTTATTAAGGGTCGTGGTGATGCGAGCTTGATTCTCAGATTGTCACAAGGTTTGAGGTAGACTTAGTTATAGAATTCTGGTGTCAATTGGAAATAAATCCTACCGAAAGTGATAAGAATAGAAATTTTCAGTCAATAATCAAAACCTCAACCCTATCAGCATAGAAATCAAATAATATTAATCCCCACATGCACACATAAATCTCACGAGAGAATCAGGAACAAGAAGAAAAATCGACAGCAGCAAATCAAGTGAGATTCATGAACAAACGCAAACATCAAAATCAAATCCAGCAGAACATAATTCAATTAATTTAAATCCAAAATATGTATGCAATGATGACTAACGATCAAGACCTGATTATATAATAAATACGAAAATCAAATCAATGCAAGCAAATTCATACAAAAATTATTAAATTATTACCATAGTCAATAAGGGGGTCGTTCATGAATTATGTCAAACTTTTTGGATGATTCGACACTTTCCCCTAGTAGACTAAATAGACCGAAAGAAGGTCTGAAAAGTCAGAAATGACAAAACACATCATTTATGAACGACTCCCAAAAACTATTATGACGAAATTTTTATGGCATGAATTAATAATGACAAATGATTGCATGATAGAATCAAATTATCGTCGATGTCGTCGCTGTCGATGAAATTTGTGTGTTGGAAGAAAATTATCGGAAAAATTCTCAGTCCATTCAGTTCCGTTCATTTGGCATTAATAATTTATGTTTATCGATGAAAAATTCAGCTTTCAACTTTGTTCTGCTCAGTCATGACTAATGCATTGTACTCGCATGTACTATAGAATGTCTTTATGTATAGAACAGTTGGACTAGATGAATTGATATTGACTGAATGGAATAAGAAAATGGGAAAGTTTCGTGTTCCTCAATTTCTGTGAACATTAACACTTGTAGATGAAATATTCTCATTCTGACTTCATTCCAATCGCTGTTAATGATAGGAAATTATTGGGTACGGTGTGAAATTGAAGGAAGAAGTTGTAGAATTGTGTAAATTGAGGTACTAATTTGAAGGACGAGCCAGTCAATTAAAATTTGATTCTTGTGTATTTTATAGTCGAAATAAAGATGATTATTGAACTTAATAAGCATGTTGGCTTCAATTTTGACAAGTTTATGACGATTCCTCATAAATATTAAAAAATTCCACAAAATAAGAAATAAAAAACTCAAATTTCACCCCAATGAACCCAAAACAATTCAATTTTTCAAGTGCAGAATCAAATGCACGAAAGCAAAATCTTCAATTTCCCTTTTTCATCTGAATGATTTCATTACAATTCTCATCTTCCGTTCTCTCCCCTCCACTTGGAATAAGAATCATTGCAATCAAGTGGAAAATGAGGAAAAACAGGAACAAGAAGAATTCTGTTGGCAATTTAATTTAAGCCAAATTGGCATAAGAAAAATTTTTTTTTTTTGTTCCTCACACTTTTGTTTGTAATCTGATTTGGCTGTTATTTCTTCCACAGACCGAGCTCATAATTGTATTAATTTCGGAAACCATAAATAATGAGGAAAACCTCTAGAGAATTTTCCTCTCACCGGACCGGAAACAATCTTTTTTTTCTCTCGGTCTCTTTTACATCCACAAAAATTGAAACGAAGGGAGGAAGGGAAATTTAAATAATAAATTTTCGACAATATCATCGCATTTTCTTCGTTTATTCAGTTTCCATTTACACTCTCAGCCACATCTATACCAAGCCAGTTAAAAAATAAATAAATATGTATTTCTGTTGCAATGCAGTCTTCTCAATTGTTTGCATTGCAGCATTATTCAAAGAGAGACGAGAATCTGGTAATGAAATTTTGAATTATGTGACTTTAGAGTGCATTTTGAGATTAGATTCAATAAGCTCTACTTAATACTAATTGTTGAGATAATATTCACAATGCTTATTTATTAATAAGTTTAACTATTCTGGATTTAATCGACAGTAATGATGTTTATTCAATGAAAGTCTGAAACAGACTAAAATATTTGTATCAAGGGGTTAACAACTTTAAAAGGGGAAATCAACTAATTGTTGTAATATATAAAATTTGAATTTCAAATGACAGTTGATATATTTTTAACACTATTAGAATTGAAAGCTTAATGTAGCTGCAAAGGACCTTTTTTGGCATCTTTTTATGATCATTTCTTACACCAACTATTAGACAGAAAGACAAACCATTGCCATTAGCAGCTTTCCATCTCCAAAATTGAACTTAAAAGCTTTAACATAAAAAGCACCACAGAAAAATAAACATCCATGTATATGCAGTATGAATATTGGGCTTGTATCTTCAATAAATAAATAAATGAATATATGCATGCATGTATACCAGTACTGTGGGTATATTTGCCTTTAAACATCTCCTTTTCTTTGCTTTATTATACGATAGACATGAATTAGTCAATGTTATTGAGTATTATAATGCATATGGTTTCTGCTCGAAGGTTTTCAAGCCATTTATATGTATTCTAAATGCACACATGCTTATTCTTTTATTTCTTTTTTTGTTGTGAAAAAGAAAAGGATCAAAATTGCTTCTGCTTTTATTTCCCAAATCACCATAGCCATAAAATTATTCTGTGAGTATCAAGTTGAAAAACCACATGGATGTTGTGTCTTGATGATTATTGATGAACAATTAAGGATCTAAAAAAAATTGGATCTAGACGAGTAACTATCAATCTGTCAGTCACGTTTTGAAATGTAAGATTGATGATTATTGACGGTAATCAAACACCGTCAATCATCCTTACGCTGCAATTTACTATTACATATCTGGGTATGGAGGTTGATGGGAACTTTAATGGAAAGGAAATTGAAGGAAAAATCGATAAGAAAAATTCCCACGGATTTTTTTTGAGGTTATAAGGGTGTTTTAAAGAAGAGTTAAGTTCTCAGCTATGTAAACGGTCAAAGTGAAATACTTGGCTGTATCCTAGTGGGCAAGTGGCATTGGGGAATTGTCCGTAGACAAGTGTCCATTAGGCTAATATACCAAATCCGTTTTTTAAGGTTAATGGACTAGCACTAGTTGATAGGCAACGATGAAGCCAACCTAGTACTTCAAGAGGTTCCAAATCAATCTTTATGAGAAAAATCTGTCTTCTGATAAGTTGTAACCCGTATTAAAAATGAATTCATTGTCAAAGTGGCACCTCACAGGATCAGCTGCACAGGCTATAACACTTCAAAACTGCATTCATAAAAACACACTTCAGACACATTAATAGCAAATTGATAAATGCATAAGATTGTAGATTAAAAATTGATTTTTGCACATACACGCTAGGTTTGAAGTGCACTTAATTTTAAGTGAGAATTGAACTGCATAATAATGAATATCAATTGTGTAAAATCAACTAAACAATCAAGTGGCGTGGGTGTTAATTGTTCTGTTTAATGGTGTCGATTGGAAGAACAGAATTGATGGAAAAAGTAGCAAAAATTGTTATTACTGGATATTTTTTATGGAATTGCTTAAACTTTGCAAACTTTATTAGAGGTCGTTCACTTATGAGGTCCGTCAAAAAACATAATTTTAAGACCTCCCAACTCTGTCACAAAAAAATTCTTTTGTTTGAGCTGTAACCCCCCCCCCCCGGACGTCATAAGAGAACGAACCATAATGAGTTGTTGCTAATACTAAGCGTAAGGTCTCATCAGTGCCAACTACACTTGTAGTAAAAATTGATGAACTCCTCTCCTCTGTCACTAGAGAGTGAATAAAGTAGGTACCTGTGATAGCTATAGATACTCGCAGTCACCAAGAGGATTAAAAACTCCATGAAACTTAAAATCCTTTCGATCTAACCATAAACCAGACAAACTGTTCACAATACAATCATACAAAAATTTTCAGCTTAGAAATCCATCCACATTCAGCTTTCTTGCTTTATTTCCATTTTCTTCTATAAAAATCATTGAAACGATTGCATTACATCAGCAAACAGAACGCAATAATAATAACAGAGTTTTATAAGGCACAAGGAGAAAAAGAAAAAGGAGAAATAAAAATATTGTTTTGTTCTGGCATAGACCAAAGATACAGTCAAGGTGTGGAAACTTGAGAAGTTTAGAGATAAGGATTTTGGAAGTAATTTTTATTAATTTTGAAGTTTTAAATGAAAGGTTAAGTAATATTTGATAATTTAACGGTCAAATAATATTTGTAATTTAACGGTCATAAATAATTCAAAATTAAGTGTCATAAATTTATTTGAAAAATAACGATCAAAAAATATTTGAAAATTTAAGAATGAATTTGTGTGATTTTCTAAAGCTGAATATCAAGCTCCCAACCCTCGAACACATTTCAAAACAGAAGCAAACCAAAATCCCAAGCAAGAAATATTTTACTCGATTTATTTTAAAATTCCAAGCCATTATTTTCAACCATAAAACTGAATTTATTATTTTCTTGTTTCTTCCCAATTTTCGTAGAGAGTCTGAACATCACATTGGTTTGGCAAATGTGCATATTGAATCGAGTCGAGTTGAGACAACAAGAACAAGAAGAACAGCAAAAAGGAAAATAACATAAAAATCTCAATAGGAAAAAAATTCCGGAATATTTTGCCATTGCTGTTGTTTGAGGCACCCGGGTTGCACCTCAAAAACCACCATCCATACACAACAAACATAATATATTGGAATCAGCTGCAAAAATAAATAGAATGAGAGAGAAAAACACAAAAATGTGGGCATTGAGATATTTATCTGCGGTCATTCTCATCCTCACACCATTTCCAATTGTTAATGGCGGTGATTGTGGAGCCAAATTCCAAAATAAATGTTCCTGTGGCCTAGGCGAATATATTGATCGTATGCAATATATTGTAAATTGCACAAATACGGGCTTTCGGGATACAACAATGCTTCAAGCATTACCAAAACAGACAGAGGTGCTAATATGGACAGGAAATTATGTTCCCGAATTGCCATGGAATGTTTTTGGCGCCATAAATAACTTAGATAATTTGACAATTATAGACATGAGCAATAATCATATACGTGAGATTCGTGGAAAAAGTTATCATCACGTCTCGAATGTTAAGCGTCTCATACTCAATCATAATAATTTGAGTATCTCGAGAGACGATGACGAGTTCAATCATCATCATCCGAGGGTGTTTTCAAACTTTATAAATCTCATGGAACTGCATCTAACGAATGCATTCTCCGACAATTCAACCGAGGAACTTTCCGAGGACTTACATGACATATTCGTAAATAGTAATTTAACAAAATTAACGAAACTTCATCTCGAGCAGAATGAGATCAAAAAGTTTAAGGACAAGCGTGTGTTTTGTGATCTACCGAGTATAAGGGACCTTCATCTAGGCGATAATCTACTTGAGGAGATAAATTTTGACATCCTTTGTCTAAGTCACATGAGATTTCTCGATCTCGAACGTAATAAATTCACACAAATGCGAAAGGCTGATTTGTACATGCTCGACATGTTAGGCAATATTCCTAAGCGTGATACGGACTTAATTGTCGATCTAACATATAATCAACTCGCATGCGATTGTACAGTAAACAACATACAGGAATGGCTGACAAAAACAAAAGTCAAGATACGTAATCTCGATAATTTATTTTGCTATAAGCAGGGTCACAAATATCAGCCATTATTATCAGTCAAGTACAATAAATGTCATGTACAAAGTCGAGATACGACTATAGCTAAAGGTCACACAATAGCCCTCGTCTTTCTATCTGTAGTTATTTTAACAATTTTGCTAACGTTAGTTATTACGGCCATCTATATAAATCGTAACCGTATTAAGAAGATTGTGAATCCCGTGATGACAAATGTCTCGAGGAAGGTCCACTACACAACAATAAAGGACGATGATGCGCCGGAGCAGTACGTTTGAGTTTGTTGTTCTCTCCACAATTATTTCTCTTTTTTTTTAAATTTTAATTCCCCATTCGTACCAATAAATGAAATATAATTATATATAAAAATAATTGTGATACCAGTGAAGTCAATGACGACGGCATATTGTTGAGAGAAAATTGAATTTTGATTAAATTATTTTTCTGGGAAATAAATATTGTGAAAAAAGGATTTTTTTTTTAATTTTCAATTAAATGAAGAATTAATTAATGTGGAAAACGTGGAAAGGCTTTTTTTTGAAAATGATGAATGGGATTTGTAGGGGAAAGCATGCCTAGACTTAATGTTACAAAAGTTTTTATTTTCTATTTCAAAGTTGGGGTTTCAAAACTTCACCTTTTCTGCGAAACTTGTTGTTGTTTTCAGGAAAAGCCCTTCACAATCATGCGATTTTGTTAATGAAATTGGTTGATTTTAAATAATTTTGAGAAAACTTTATCATGGTAGCTAGAGTGTAATGAAATAAAAATTAGGTACTATTAATTTTAGTCAATTAATAAGAATTTTTAAATTTTAAAATTCAGATTCTCTTGCGGCCTGTTTCACTAAAGTGGATTATCCTCGATTTCGGATTATCCACTTCAGTTTTTTGTAAATATCTTAAACTTTATGCGAGGTGTGGTATTTCTAATTTTGGATTATAATAGAGTGAACTATGCCTGAAATTTCTGTATACTTTAAACTTTTACTTTTCGTTAAGAAGTATTAATTATTCAATTTTTTAGCCAAATCTAGTAGATTAACTTCGATTTTTGCTATAATTCTCAAACTAATGAAGATATAAAAATTCTAAGTATATGTTAATTTAAGGAGCAAAGTACTCTAACTAGATCACACATTAGATCTTTTAAAAGTTTTAAGTGTCTGGAGTTATTTCCAAAAAACTGAATTGGATAATCCGAAATCGATGATAATCCACTTTAGTGAAACAGGCCGTTGATTCTTACAGAACTTGATTTTGGGGTTTCCAAGAATAGCTGGCTTTGTATTGTCGTGTAAACTCACGAATCATTGTCATATCGTCGAAATTTGAAGGGAATCGAACACAAATCCTTTCTTAAAAGTAGGAGGATATCAGATTTGTGTTGGTTTGTATCTAAACCACTCAGCTGGATAAGACTTATTCTTGTACTGGCAGATTCGTCTATTTATTGATTGAAACTTCATATTCACTATGATAAATAAAGCACTTCTTGATTAAACATAATTTCATTAGGAGCATTGATTTCCTGTTCTAAGAATCGATGTCTTACTTACATACTGTAACCATTTTCATATGTGGAACTTAGGTTACAACAAAAGGCTTCTTTTCTATGACTCTGTTTCTGGTCTTGTTACCTGGTTTTTACAAATTCTCTGTCCGCACATTAAGCTGAAATCCCTTCAAAACTATTCTCCAAAAATCGATGTCTATCTTAAGAATATTTGAAGATTAGATTTTATTTGGAATCGAACTCACAAACACACAAAATTTAGAATCAATTTATCACAGATTCGTAAAACTGATTCTGAATGCACTGGGCTATATTGATTGACTTTTTTGGACATTATATGAAATCATGTGAGTAAGTTGTCAGCCTTTGATGCTTAATATGATTCTTTCTTTAGAAAATAATGAAAAGTTCAGGTAATTATGTCCTTTTTATTAAGATCAAAACATCAATTACTTTAAGATTCACTGGTGCATGTGTGGAGTCAAAAAACAGAGGATCGATAAAGCCTGGATTAAATATTGAAACTCCCAATCCAGATCCTTCATTTACTCATAGCATGGATACATTTACAGCAAACGCTTAACACACAATTTAAATTTACAATGCTATCCAAATCCATTTTTAAATTGATATATCACAGCACCAACACTTACCAACAATGTTTGTCAGTCTAAAATTAAATCCAATTCAGATATCCAATATCCCATTTAATCTTCTTACCATCGTCGATAGAACTAACGATGTAGATTGCATTTCATAACTTTATGATACATTTTTTCCATGCAAACTTTAACCATGAATATGAAGCAAAAACTATCAGATAACAACCATCAATTTTCAAACTAACAGCTTGATTCTGTTTGAGCACGAGAATCTGAATTTAAATTCGAAAAATTCTGCACATAGTCAAGAGAGAAATTTTTTTTATATGTTTTAAAACAAAAAAAAACTAACGAGAATAAAATTCTTAACAATTTAGTCTATTATGAAGAAAAGTTTTTCATTTATCTAGATTATTATATTAAAAGCTAACAACAGAAAAAGTTTTTTTTTGTTTAATTTTTCTAACTCAATAAAATTTATAAGCTGAATCAAAAAAAAAAAATTAAAAACTTTTATGGACTGTTCATGCACATTTGTGACGGGGATGGAGCTAAAGGATTTTTAAAAGGGGTCTATAACTTGAATTACTCTAGTTTAGGTTCGATGGAGTACTTGGATAGATGGTATTTTCATATTTTTGGCACCTACTCAGGCTAGTGTTCTTCGCCTTCTTGACACAGATGATCCAGTAAGCCAAAGGTAATACAATATGAAGCAAACAAAATTGATGAAAATCTCTTAAGGAGAAAACAACATTTTGACATGTGACACGGTGGCACGTGGCATAATGACATGATACATGTGGCATGTGACATTGTGACATAAGACATGAAACATTGTGACATAAGACATGAGACATTGTGACATAAGACATGAGACATTGTGTCATGTGCTATTGTATCATGTGACATTGTGTCATGTGACATCGTGTGATGAGACATTGTGTCATGTGATATCGTGTGATGAGACATTGTGTCATGAGATATGGTGTCATGTCACATTGTGACATATGAAATTGTGGCTTGAGATATTGTGTCATGTGCCATTGTATCATGTGACATTGTGTGATGAGACATTGTGTCATGAATATTGTGCAATAAGATGTTGTGGCATGAGACATTATTTCATGTATCATGCGACTTTGTTTCAAGTCACATTGTGACATATGACATTGTGTGGTGAGACATTGTATCATGTAATCATTTGACATTATGACATGTAACATTGTGACTTATCACATAATTATATGTGACATTGTAGCTTGTGAAATAATTATATGTGAAAAAATGACATGATACATGTGGCATGTGACATTGTGACATAAGACATGAGACATTGTGACATAAGACATGAGACATTGTGTCATGTTCTATTGTATCATGTGACATTGTGTCATGTGACATCGTGTGATGAAAACATTGTGTCATGTGATATCGTGTGATGAGACATTGTGTCATGAGATATGGTGTTATGTCACATTGTGACATATGAAATTGTGGCTTGAGACATTGTGTCATGTGCCATTGTATCATGTGACATTGTATGATGAGACATTGTGTCATGAATATTGTGCAATAAGATGTTGTGGCATGAGACATTATTTCATGTATCATGAGACTTTGTTTCAAGTCACATTGTGACATATGACATTGTGTGGTGATACATTGTATCATGTCATCATGTGACATTATGACATGTAAAATTGTGACTTATCACATAATTATATGTGACATTGAGGCTTGTGAAATAATTATATGTGACAAAATGACATGATACATGTGGTATGTGACAAAATGACATGTGTCATGTGGCATGTGACATAATTTCAGTTATCAAACTCACAAAGACCCCACTTCTCTTCATAGCTCCTCCCATGCATTTAAAATATCTACAAATATTGCTTTTTACAATTCAAAATTCAAAACAGAACCTGCAATAAATTTTTTTTAAATTTCCCTTACATTTTATAAAAAAAAATAACTTTTATGATTGCATTACAATTTCGTACAGATAAGTAATGTACAATGCTAGTTTAACATGTGCCAAAATTGTATAAAGTTTTTTGTAATTAAGATAATGCTATTTAAGGATTCATTCACTCAGAAAAACGCAGACACAATCTCCATATGACCTTTTTTTTGCAGAGAGATAAAAAATTTAAATTTAATTATGCATCATTTCATCTACATAAATATGAAAAATTATGAAATTCAAATTTTCTTGCATATCAAGGAATGGGTAAAAAAAAGTAATTGTGGATTGTTAATAGAGAAATTTGCATACTTTTTTTGCTAGGAGATGAGGATGGAATAACACTGTTGCAGTATATTCTTAATAAAAAAATTCCAACCCAGCAGTTTGAGCAATTTCCAAGGAAATCGTCCATTTCCATCAAATTCCTCTCCTTCCAGTTGCTTCAGCAACAAAAATAAATCTTCAATGAAATACTTTTCCAAGAAAATTGACGGTCCACAATTTCCTAAGAAAGAATTATGAGGAAAAGCACTTTGTTAATCTAAATTGACGAACAGAACAGAAAGAACAAAGGCATAGACAGAAAAGAGAAATGAACAAAATGGAAAATTCAATTACGTATAATGAAAATTATATTAAGCTGTGATGCATTCAATTGTATAGAAATAAATAAAAATGATGAAAATTTCTTCCGTTCATTTAGAAAGGACAAGAAAAAAAAGTTTTATATTTTTAAAAACAATAAAAGGCGATGAAAAAAAAAATGCGATGAAGTTTCTTATTCGTTATTTTATTTTTATGATAATGAAAATTATACAGAACAGAAAATTGTTTTTGATTATCTTTGTTCTTATTTCTTATCTTAATAAAAATTTCACTTGAATATTTTTTATTGTTGAATCAAATATTTGCCTTTTGATGCCCTCATTCCTTCATTTCAGGTTGTTAAATATTTATCGTACGCAAAAGTCGCAATTTTCTCTTTTTTTCTTGCAGCTATTGTTGGAGGTTCGTTTGGGAGTGACGTCTGTGGAAGTGGGGTTTAAAGCTTTTTACAGTGACAACCATGTGTTGGTTCCTAGGGCTTGTCGAGGCAACTTACTCTAGTCAAAAGCAGAACATCAATTAGTGTGTTGTTGATTCTAAGATAAAGTGCCCGGGGTAGCCCCAGGAAACAAGGGGGATTGACCAAAATCTTATTCAGGAAGTCCTTAGCTGCTCCTACATCTCCTTGAGTTT